GGAGGGGATGGGGATAGGACAGGGATAGCCACAGGGACAGGGATAGGGACAGAGACAGAGATAGAGACAGAGATAGAGAAAGAAAGAATAGCAGAAGTGGAGAGAGATAACAATAAGAAGAAAGCAACACTGGTGAGACTTTATCCCACTCTACTCCTTCATTTCTTCAACAACTTCTGGCTAAAATCTGTGACGTGTGTTTCCATTATCTATGGACTGAAAATAAAGCTTCAATCTCCCAAAGCAAATTAGAAAAGCTCTTGCTTTTCCCCTGTCCTGTCCTTCCTCAAACATGTACTGAGCACTGATATATGATATTAATATAAATAAGGCACGATCTTTGTACTGCTGTTCGTGAAGAAGAAAGACATACTTAAAAATGTAGCACTGAACTTCTAGAGATAAGCAAATACTGTCATGGAAGCATAGAAAAGGGCAACCAACTCAGACTAGGATTGATGAAGGACCCTTTCAGGATGATAGACTTTTAAGAGTTGAAGTTGAGCAGGCCGAGGAATGGGATGGGTACAGTATTCCAGGCAGGGGGAACAGAATTGGCAAAGGCACTGAGTAGGGTGGCTGAAGTATAAATGTAAATGGCTGAGCAATACTTCTGTACTCTTATTACCTCCCATTTGTCCGAATCAGCTAAAGACTGAGGGAGTTTGCCTGCTTATATTGTACCTTTCCGGAAATTAGGGGAAAGAGAGTCCTCCCTGGGCATATGCAGAAAAATGAAGACATAATGGGCACAGCTGGGCATCCAGATGCAGCTCAGCATGTGTACTGGAAAGAAGAGGGCACACTGGATTTGACCCCCTAATCTGCCCATGGGCTGAGTCCTTTTGTGCAGTGTACAAACTGTGAAACCACATGAGCAGCCCTTTGAACTCACATGGCGTCATGATTTTGCTAATATTACTATCAAGTAAGTATAAGTATCTCTCTTTTCTTACTTCTGCAACCCCATTCTGTGCATGCAGGACTCAAAGAAATTGAGACATGAGTAGAATCTCACCAGCACAGTGATCAGATGACAATTAGGCTTGATTCAGAGTCGGGCATTTCTGAAGCACAGAATATCTAAATGGATTTGGGAATTAACATTTAAAAGACAAAAAGAACTTCTTTGACACTGAATATGAATCATGTGGATAAAACTGTCAGTGAATTTTCCAAATATTAAGCAATTAGATTCAAATACCTTATGCATTCTCAGTAATGATTGTGAAATTAATCTTAAATTTGCCCTCTCTCCTCACCTAAGAATGAGTTGTTAAAAGTTGGCCAGGCAGGAAGGGGACAGGGCTTAAGGGTCCTTGTATCTCATTAAGTTTCATGTGGTCCTGTGGATCCCACTGGGTGAACTTGCCCCAGCCTTTTTAATAATGCCTTTCTCTGTGGTGTGTGATATGTTGCTGAGGCTACAAACTTATTCTGAACGTAGTTTAAAGTCCAGTAGAGCAGGTGTCATCAGCACTTAGTTCACTTTTTGCTCCATGTTCTTACTTTCTCTTGATGCTCCAACACTTACCCCTTTTTGCCTTTCTAGATACTATCTCCTTGTCTTTCTATATTTTCTTCTCTTGTCCAGATGATAAAAAACTAGAATCTAAGCAAAGTGTCACGATAAATACATCATCCTTGACTCTCTTCTTATTTGTTTGAAGCATTCCCCAGAGGAAAGCAGTGACATCTCAAAGTATCAGTGCTTTGGCTCCAAGAGAGTTTCCCAAAATTCTAACTAGAGTTCTACATGTAACAGAATAGCAACCAATATTATGTTGTGTCTTATTTTGCTATCCTTTTTTTGATGACCTTTTTCTTCATTTTCTCAATTCAAGCACTAAGGCCATCTTTGTACTACATGGTAGAGTGAAGGGTCCAACAGGCTAGAAAACAGGAACATAGGAATCTTCTGCACTTTAGGCTCTGGAAGTCATCATTTTTATGGATGTGGCACCTCCTCCTGCAATTCATCCCCAAAGAGAAAATGGGATGGAGATGGAAAGGCAGATGGAGGAGTAGTGGTGAGAGTAGAGGTGCTGGTGGGTCCCAGTATGGAACGAGAGCAGCAGAGTGAGTCCTGTGCCTCTCTGAGTGGTATGAAGAGTGGATAGAGTTATTAGACCTGGAGGGAAAGGTAATCAAGTGGTCATGGAAAGTAAGAGGTCAGCAGAAACACACTTGGATGAATTACTCAAGGATACTTGGCCCCACCATATGTTCATTGCCCAAAATACACACACAGTCACACACACACACACACACACACACACACACACACACTCAAGCACTCAAGCCTTTTGGTACTAAGTAAGCTTGTTAGAACTTGGGGTCAAGCCTAGGAAATGGGGAGGAGAGGGAAAGAAATTTATTTTTTTAAAAAATTGAGATATAATTGACATATAACCTTATGTAACTTTAAAGCTCTCACAGCTCCTACCAATGGCTAATTAAATATCAGAATAGTAATTAAATTGAAGTAAAGAATGTAATGTTATAATTCCTGTCCCCCTGAGCTGTGCTCTGAGATGCATTCTTGCAGTATTACAAAACCAGGGACTAGATGGTCACATAAGACTTGAAAACTGTGAGTTTAACAAATTGAACAGATTTCCTCACTCCAGGACACGTCAGAACTTTTAACGTGTTAATAGGTACTCCCCAAGCTTACGTGATCACAGAATTCTATTCCAAGAACATCTACAGCTTGGGAAACACTGCTTTGGTTTCCAATGCAGATTTTATGTAGATACGTGTGTAACCTGATTACAGCAATCACTTACAGAATGGTTTTGATGGCAAGATTTTAGTGTCTCCTCCTTACCCTAACCCTTATTTCCTTCCCTTCCACTGAAACTCACAGATCTCAGAAAATGTTTTTCTTAAACATTTTTGGGTTCAACTAAGGGATGTTTTTGCTTATATAAATACAGAGAAATGATAAACCCTAAATATTCTTGGAAAACACTAATTCAAATTCTTGCTAGAAAAATATACTATCACTTCCTCTATATAATAATAATTTAAGATTATTTTTGACTGAAAAACTTGAATTGGAGATAAGACATGCCACGTGATATGCTACACATATATGTTTCCATCTTTAATTAGATTAATAAAGCTTTTAGAGAGGAAATTATGCTTTTTATCAGGTATTTCTCTTCTTGGTGCTTTTTATTATTCAGATTAGAATTTATTCAGCCATTCTCACTGGCATTAAAGATGTGAGATGTGAGCTGCGTGAGGGCAAGGACTATATAATGCATCTATTTATATGCTCTGTCTAGCCCTGTGCCTAGCACATGGTCATCGCTAAACAAATGTTTGTTAAATAAAATGTAAGATTTTAAATTGCAGATGGTTCAGAAACTATTGTCTAACATGTATAGAAAACACGGAGCGTGAAGCAAAGCAATATAAATACATCAGAGACTATGCTCACCTATGTGAGTGGATTTGATGGCTTTGTATGACAGAGCAGCTGTCATTTTCCAGTTGCTAAAAAAAAATAATAATAATAAAGGCTGCCTATCTTCAGCCTGAGGATGTGTGTCTGTGGGGTGGGCATTAGGCATTTGATGTAAATCTGTCTTGACAATGACATGTTCTGCTATTATCATAAGTAATACACACATGTCCTCTTTTTTAAAACACAATTAAAGACCTCCAGGTTCTCGATTGCAAGTAAATCCTTCTTACTTCAGTTCTGTTCTTCCATTACTAATTTACAGATGCTGGCACACTCACAAATAGTACTTGTTGCTGCTAGGAACTGTCATTGGCACTTTGTCCACAGACTGCTGGCCGCTGGCTAGATGCTCAGGGAGATTGGCTCCTGCTTTGTTTATGCACCCTGGCTGAAAGAGGGGTGATGGCTGCCAAGAGGACAGGAAAAGATAGGCAGAAATAGCCCTCCGTGGCGTTAGCCTTGGTGAGGGGGGGTGAAAACAGGTCATGTCCTTTCCTCCCCCTTCCTGCTCTCCCCAGCAATGGCAGCAAAGGCTATTTTCAGGGTTAAAACCAGAGAGGTGCTGTTGTTTATCAATGGGGTCAGGGAAGAATTTTGTACCATTTTCATACTGAAACTGAGATCTAGAAGAATCTTTTCTTCAGAAAGACTCCAAGAGGAAAAATAATCACACAGATTATATAAAATAATATATCTATGGTTCCACAGCAAAGCAGCCTAGTAAAATCAACAGGAATTAAAATATTGGCTTCGAAGTACTCACAAGAGGATATAAATCATGATAATAAATTACATTTTATTTCTATTTTCAAATTATATTTAAAGTAAATTATGAACCACTTGCTGAACTATGAACTACACATTTAAGCCGCAATTTAAGGACAAAAAGCTAATTATGAAAAATAAATGGTGCCAATGTAGACAGTAAGATAAATCTTAAAGTGCATGACTTTCCACTTGAGCAATGCTTTCTCGAAAGATTGTAGGTTAATGCTTAACCTTTAAGATTAAAACATTAATCAAACATTCCCTGAGTGAGTGGAGATTTACAGAGCAATTTCTAGAGAATAAATAAACTATAAAAATATAATGCATTTGTTGGACAAGTGCAGTGAGGAACTTTATTTCATCTCACTGAGTGTGGCGGCGGATGGTGCAGAGGATGATAATGCCCGTGGTTTTATAACTCCCCAGGTAGAAATCATTTCCAAAGACAGTGTAGCCCGCGCTTACCTCTCGCAGCGTGGTCCTGAGTACCCGACAGGGCATTCGTCACAGATCAATCCAAGACTTCGGTCTAAGTGGCACGTCGGGCTAAAGCTATGTTGATGTTGTTGGGGAACAACAGGAACAAAGAAGAAGCACATACACAAAGTCATTAGCGGCATATTTTCATTTCTCTTTCTCCAATACTGCTGTGACTAAAGGGTACAGGCTGGTCATTCTCGTCTCACAGACGGAGATTAGGGTCTGGCCAATTGAGGATGAAATGACACTGCTATTTCTGAAGACGTGAATATAGCCCAGTAGAGAGCAATATCCCAGTGACATGTTATTAACTGACTTTTGACTGTTCTGGGTCTGTGATCATCAGTAACAAGTGGGACTGCACTGTTCCTTTCTAGGGATTTCCCAGGCCAGACAAGATACAGCCTCATATTCTTTCTCTCCAGCCAGATCCTTCTGAAACTGAAGCCTCCCAGAAAAAGGTTAGAGATTTTGGAAAACTCAGTGGATGGTAGTGGAAGTGGTGATGGCAGTGATGGTGGTCGTGGGGTTCCTACTTCCAATACTGCTAACAAAGGTATGTGAATGTGCGCGTGTGCATGTGTGTGTACAGGCTGCTGCCCACATGTACTCATGGGCACACTGTTAACACAGAAGGTAGCTTCCGAAAAGCTTTCACAAGAGATCCAGCATGCATATCCTGCCTGCATTTATAATAAAACCGAAGGAACTAAAACAACCGTTCCCGCTCTCATCTTCTGGCATGTTCCCAAATTGACCTCTCTTCTGGCACGTATTTCCCATGTGGGTCTGAAGTAACAGAGTTGAGCACCAAGCCTAAAACCAGCCAAGTAACTGTGCGTTAGCTTTAGCCTTCCACGGCGTGTTCAACTGCGGCCACACTACTTCTCCTTGTGAGACCCCTCTCATGCGTGAACACTTACACCAAGATTGACATGATGGCTCTCTCAAGAGCCATCAACCATTTCACATTCTGCGAGTTCTGCTGCTCTGCCATTTTCAAAGGAAATGCCCCCAATTAATCTTTCTCCCATTATGTCTTCCCTAAACAGATTTATTTTCTATTATATATGACAGGACAATTCAGTAGAGGCTTGCTTGATGGCTAAATGAATTAAAGAGAGAACAACAAATTAAACATCTCAAGTCCCGGCCTTGTTCTGCTCCTGACACTTGCATGGCTTTGGAACGCTTTCCTTACTGGTGCAGATCAGAGAGCTGGTACTATTTTGAGTACTGTTCCTCTGGCTTAACTCACAGTAGCCCTGCAAAGATTTATAACTGTAATTTTTATAGAGTAGCAAGCTATCAGAAACAAGTGGTTTTATCATATTAAACATTTCATCCCGGTGGAAAATCTAAATGAATCTGTTGACCTAAGGGGTGAGGGGAGCCTGGCCTGTGATATCTTGAGTTTACAAATATTATCCAGATAAAATATTTCACATTAAGGGGTTCTGGAAGCTGCCATAAACAGCAGAACCAAGACACATCCAGCCTGTGCTCTGTGAGAGAACTATCTTTCAGGGAGTGGCCTGTGGTTTGCCACCTGTGATCCCACGGGGGCTCACCGTGGGTGATTTTCTTGGCAGGAGTGGGACCGCACTGAAGAGAAGAGGCACATGTAGAAATGAAAAGAAACACAGTTTTCCCCTTCCTCACCCTGTGGTTTGTTATTGTTTTCAGACATAAAAAGGAGGACTGGATTTTGACAGATGTCTAGAAGGTGTGCAGGCCCTCTTTTAAGGCTGGCATTCTGTAACTGTCTCATCATCTCAAGGGAAGGACTCTAACTAGAAGCCTACATTTCCCACCCAGGTGGACTATAGTGATTGAAAGAAAACCACGTCAATTATTTTTTAAAATCCCAAATCTGTTTATCATGTCATGTTAAAGGTGCTTGACAAGGCTACTGACACTTTAAACTATTTATAAAATAGATTTGAAACTTCAAGTATACTCATGCATTGCATAAAACTGATAGAAGTAAAATGCTGTCAGTGACAACAGCCAATACATTTTTTCAGGAAAAAATTAAGCAATGACCATAATATATTAGATTTAACTAGCTTTTTACATTTTCAGAGCGATTTTACAAATAATTTTATCGCATTTTCCCCAAATTTTATGAGGAGCTTGGGGCAGGCATAATTTTTCTTGCCCAAGATTATGGCCAGGAGAATTCAGCATGGGATCCAAGGTTTCTGGATTCTAATCTGATGCTGCATTCAGCCTACTTGTAAGAACTAAGTGTGTTTAAACTTTTAACCATATAACTATTTGACAGGATGCATTTAAAATAAAATGTCCTCGTGAAATATAACTGTTTTTGTGCTTTAATGTTCTTTAATCAATATAAACTGAGGCTATAATTGAAGATACAGTTATGAAGACAGTGGCATTCAACACTAAAAGTAAACTGAGAATGAGCAATAAACATGGAAAACGAAAAAATGTCCACATAATTTGGATTGTCAAAGCAACAACTTGACCTGATTTTGGCCAAAATATGAAGCTAACTCTTCTGTGAAAGAAAGAGGGAACTGTAAGGTCACTGTTGGCTTTGAGTGAGTCCAAGCTTATGACATTAGCCCTGTACTGGCAGAGAGAGTGTTCTGCTTCCTGAAGTATCTAGTCCACGCCACAGAAGACACAAGAGACCCAAGAACAGCAACGCTTTCCACAAATAGGGGGAGGAAGAGAAACTATTTTTGGACTACATAGTAAAGATCTACATATGGAAATAGCTTTTCTTAACAGCTGAACATAGACTTTTATACTTATAATGATTAATTTATTAATAGATATATATATGTATACTTGTATGAATATGTATGTGAATGTATGTGTATTTATTTATGTAAATACACACATGTAGATACAATTAGCTTTGCTCCCAAAAGAATTTAAATCTACCTATCAACATATGTACATTAAGATAAAATGAACCAATAAGGTTAAAGACAAAAAAATGCTAAAAATAAAATAAAATCAAGGGTATATTTAGAGCGCAAAATTCATTTTGCAAGGTATGCTCATTTGATAGTGGCAGGTCAAAATATGGCCTTGAGCTGTCTTACAGCGATTGCAAGAGGGAACGAATTACCTCTTGGACTAAGATGTGATATGAAAGAAACACTCCGTTCGTCACCGGCATAACATTTCTGTCTTAGGGCGGGACAATAAGGACATGCTCTGTGTGTACAGATACAAGAGGGAAAGAGAATTCCTTTTACCTAATTGCAACCTGGAACACTTGGGTGGGGGGGGGAAGGAGACACCAAAGGGACGAGAGACTGTAAGGGTGAGAAGAGGAGAGGGCTGAGTGGACGGGGCGAGCGGTGAAGGGAAGACTCATTTACTTCATGATCTCGGTTTGGGCCACATGAAGTTTTGAAGTTTCTCCATAAGTGTTTTCTTCTTTCAGTTCAGTGAATGCTGTTTTATATATTCTTAGGAGAACCAGTAAGCAAACACCTATTTAATTATCTGCAAGTACTATCTATTGATGTCCATAATTGGGTTTTGTACTTAGAATTAGGTTATTTTCTGTGTCTTTGGATACTACATTTCTCTAAACACAGGTTTCTCATTCTACAAAGTGAGGTAATATGATCTACCTAATAAAGCCTTTCATGCTAAAAATGTATGAACAGACTGACGAATCTCAGAGGGAAGGCCGGGGTGGGGGAGGGAGGGAGATTAGTTGAAGAACTTATATGCGTAAGTTCATAACCCACGGCCACAGACAATAGAGTAGGGAAGGCCTGGGGGGCCGATGCTGGATGGAGGGGGTCAGTGGGGGGAAATGGGGACATCTGTAATACTTTCAACAATAAAGATAAATTTTAAAAAATGTAGGAAAGAAACTCTTAGCACGGTGGCACAATAAATCATAGCTGAGATTTAATACTTCAAAATGTTTTGCTAAAGTAGGTTGATTTGTTTAAATTTTAAAGTATTTAGTTACTCATTAAATAATTAAACTTGCACTTTCTTATCCTGTTCTAGTTCTTACATTTGAGTTAGCTTAACCCTGCCAAACTCTAGAGTCATTTTTATAATAAACTTTTACAATTTGTCTAATATTAAGCCCTATTATTTTTTTGCTTTTCTTCAATGTCTCTGAAATTGTTTCTGTTTCTATAGCCCCACTGGAAGAAGCATAGAGAGGTGAATATATGGGTTCTAATATTGGTTCTGCCACAAGCAAGCTGTAGGATCACGATCAAGTCATTTGATTTCTCTGGAGTTTAGTTTTCCCTTCTGGTTTTGGGATTAGTAGGATATATCATACTCACCCATATGGACATAAAACTCTATGTAGGGAAGTGCTCTAAATTATCTAACATACTCTAAAATTTCTAAAGAATGCTGTTGAATGTTTCCTTAAATTTACCTTTGGCCTTAGAATATTATTAGAGAATAATATTTTCTATTAGAACTACTAATTTTAACAACAATAATTCAATGTGGCCCCTTTAGTGAATCCAAGAAACAGTAGAACTTATTGAGCGTCTGCCTTTTGTCAAGCCTTGTGTCAAGAATATCTATGATTTTATTGTGTAACTGATGAAGATCTATGATTATAATATCATCTATTCAAACACATTCTGAATGTTCAAGGGCAGATAATCGTGTTTTTTAATATAATATTTAATCTGTAAGTTATGTGATGTCAGAAATTCATTAATATAAAACATTTGTAATATTTAAAATTGTATTTGCTTCTCTAGAGATAAATTTCACTACCTAGTTACAATCTATAGCTAGAATGTATACATCACCAAAATCAGAAGGCTAAGCAAAAAGTGGCCACTGTAAACAGTTGATTACTTTGATATATATAATTTAAATATTATATGCTTGTCTGTATTCATACATCAGAATAAGTATAGCAATTTATCTCTATCTCCATACACATTAGTTTTATTTAGCAATACTATGTAAGAAATTCGGAGCCGAAATGCTTGTGATGTATAGGATTTACGATCAAGGATTAAATAGATAAATTACCAAGGTAAAACCATTACTAAGCTTTAATTTGTAGATGAAGGTTGCAACAACCTTTAGCTGATTTTTTTCTTAATATGATATTATACAATCATATTCATATGTTCATATAAACATATTCATATTCAATATATTATATTTAATTTATTCCTGAGTCTGTGACCCAGGTTATAGCAGTAATGACTGTTTAAAACTTTTTAAAAGGAGACTTCCCCTAAGGCATTGCATCCCATTACTTAGTGATTTAAAAAAACAACACAGGTTATTAGATTTAAATGAATTTTTCTCATTATAATTGTACATTAAACTATGTTAATTTTCCAAGTTGCTCTAAATTTAAAAGACTTTATAACTCTGAATACACACTTCTAGGATTTTAAAAATAAGTGAATTATTACTGTTCCCTCTTTCTACTATGAAAATGCCACACTTAAAGCTGGAATTTAAAATAGGTTACTGCTCTATTCCCAATTCTACTTGTAAGGATAAGATTATTACTTAATAATTTAATAATAATCATGTACATGTAGCCACTTTGAAAAGTGAAGGATCTTTAAATACTTGGTGTAACTGATATAGTTATTACTGAATTTTTATTATTTTTTTAAATCAAGAAATGTATAATTATACAAAATTGGAATACAGAAACTTGAGGAAATAGAATCATTGGACCCTGGGACCTCAATCCCTTTGGCACTGATGAATGTGTCCTAACGTTTGCTGACTTTCTTTTTTCTTTAAAAAACATTTAGAACCCATTTTAAGGTAGAGGCATAGTAAACAGAGAAGGATGGGCCATGAATGCTTACAATTACACTAAGTTCTCTCCCTAACAGCCCCTCTGCATTTATAATCACATTGGTCAGACTTGAGGATGAATCCATAAAGTCTACATATTCAATTAATTACATAATTCCAAAAATGTGTTAGGCTAACATTTGTATGGTCCTAGGAATGGCCAGCCCTGGGATTTCCGGCCGATTAGTGCAGTGCAAGTGAGTGGACAAACGCAGTCCCTCTGCTTTGTTCAGTGAAAGGGAGTGTTGGGCAATGGGGTTTGTGTATATTAGATGGTTCTGGAGAATTCCTCCAGCCATAGCGAATGGTTTCTCTGTGGGGTGATCTAACCTCACAAATACACTAGAGAGCAAGGTTTGTGTCATATTATGGTCAACATAGGCCTGACTAACCATAAATTGTGAAGGAATTTAATTTGTTCTCCTATATTCATTATTTTCTTCTTCTACGACACCTTTGGTTGCCAAAGGATCTTCAGTTTTGTGCCCACCCAGGCTCATGCCCTAAATTCTGGAAATGATTTGATCACTAATATACATTAACCCAATTTCCCATTTAATTGCTTTTAATGTTATCACTTAAAATGCAGCGTGGTTGTTAAAGTCCTCAATGTAGACTGTAGACGAAGGAAAGCACATGGACTTAAAATTCCAACTCTGATATTTTCATATTTTATGACTCTGAGCAAATTGCTTGATAATAGTCAGTTCTTATTTTGGGCTCACCATGTCCAGTCACTGTTTTAGGTGCTCTGTGTATTTTAATTTACGTAGTTCTCACAACAACCCTGTGTATGTGTACATGTGGGCATGTGTATATGTTTATATAAAAGATATCTGTTCTTTGGAGTTAGTTTTGAAATTCTATTTGACTTCTATCTTTAGATACTAAATCACCAAAACTAGAGCTAAAGTATTAAAAATTCTGTAAAATTAATAGTGATAACTCTAAATATTTTATATTTAAAAAACCTCATATTCCATTACTGAGAAACTTGTGTATATATTTATTATTTATTTATGTGTGACAAGAGAAAGGGTACATTCAAATAAAAATGCACTTACAGAACTGGATGCCCAACTCATTAGAGAGAGAAGTTTATTACTCACTTATTTGATGGGATATTGAGTGGACAGGTACAGGGCAGGCAGTCTTCAGAGGTTCCTTTAGTAGGATCTCCATAGAAACCAGGAAGACATTTATTGCAGTATGGGCCACCTGTGTGATCCTTACAATTCTGAGAAAGAAATGCACATCAAAGTTTATTATTTTGGTCTCAAGCAACAACATGTTACCAAAAATAGGTCCACAGAGCCATTAGACTGTTCCCTGCCAGGAACAATAATTTTCCACATTAAATGGTCAATTTTACAGCTGGGAAATAGCATTGGAAGTTAATTTAATATCGAACTTAGAAACTACACGCTAGTTGCAGCATATGCGTACTTACAAAAATATGACAGAAATTCATTATACTTTTTTTTCATAATGCAAATCTTATTTCCTTCTTTCCTAAGATTGTAATTTTTTTCTTGAGGAAATACATGTGATTGTTCATGCATGTGTAAGTATGTATAGTCATAGAGCCTTAATAAAATATGTTCAATGGAAACTGTAGCTGATTCTAGATTAAAAAATCAATTGTTCAGCTTAAAACTGCTGATTTAATGAGAACTGTGGCTAATCATACTAATCTTCTGGGACGACAGCCCTCTTACTTCAGAGATTAATTTGGACCTCAGTGGACTCTGATGAATTGCACAATGCATTAATGTATTACATCTGTGAGGAGCTTGTTTGACATATGTTAAACAATGAGAATACTGAAAAAAATTGAAATATATTCCAATGTTTATTCAAATCACAAGGCACATAACAATTTCCCTTAGACAATTTTTAAAAAACTAAAACTGCATTTTTCTGTCAATTAGTAGTTATGGAACCCATGTCCTTTTCAAAAATAAAAAGATAAAAATAACTTATATCTTGATTTCTTCATGTTAATTAAAGCACATTTATCAATTCAGACTGTGTTCACAAAACTCATCAAGACTGGTTTAAAGGTGAACAATCTAGTTAATCAAGCAAAGGAATTGTCTGTAAAGCTCTGATAGCACAATTCGATAAATTTGTATCACGTTTTTGCATCATGCAGACATAACTCACTTCTTCAGTCTCCAATGCTACAATAAAACATATCTAATGCCTATTAAATATCACATAGCGTGGATTCATTATGACTAAAATACATTTTTTATTTTAAAAACATATAATTTATAATTTTTCTCATGTTAAAAAGAGTTCATCAGAGCTTAGGGATGTAAAAGCTTTATTTTTATGATCAATAACCAAATAGGAAATAGCTAAATTATAAATTCATTTTAATCTAAAGTAACATTTTAATCATTTGGATGACCATTGGGATAGCCACCCTAATTTACTGAAAATTCTGAATTATTATTTACTTCAGTATATTTTTAAGTATATTTCAAAGAAGCTCAATTTTAATTACATTTAGTAAGTGGGGATTTAATTTAAAAACACACACACAAGTACACACATTTGAACATAGTTTGCCATGTTCCCCGGGGAGAGAGACAGATTCTTTGTTGAGTAGAAGATATTAAATTAAAATCTAATCGTTTAACTCTCTGAGCCTCTAGCTTTCATTCTGTAAAATGAGGGAGCAAAAGCCTATGATTTATGGAGTTCTCAAACTCTGAAATCCCATGACAGTTTCACAACCCCAAGTGAAGAGGTAATTCTTTAGTATCTGGTGATACTTGAGAATAGTTTTTTTCTTTGAGGTATTTTAAATTCTGTCTTAAATTTATTTAGTAACCCATTTCCAAAGATAGAGGTTAACTTCACTATCAACAGTTGTCTCAATAGCAGCATAGTGGGATGGAGTGTGCAGAACATGGGTCAATTTGAAGAAAAGCTTTCTTTATTTCATCTTTGTGCCTTTCAGTTTTCAAGGTTAGCTAATGTTGTCTATTACCCAAAAATTGTATGCTTTTTGCAAGGTTCTTTGCATATTGCATAATGACACAATCAAAATTATATCTTCAAAGACTTAGGGGTTTAAAAAAAATAAAATCATAAAATTGATCGTCTTAACCTTGTTGAAAATGGTATTTCTAAAGCTTCACTGAAAACCTGAACAGCCCAGAGACCCTGTTATTTTTTAACTACTGATTTAGAGGAAAAATATTATGTAGGAGCTTCTTATATTTCCTATTTTCATATTTCATTTCATGGAAATAATAAAATTAATCTTAAAACTCAAGTGTTTTTGGTATTTTAAGTATAAAGTAGCCTTTGACAACAATCTAATGGAAACCAAAAGTATAAAAGATGAGAGGTTCGCTCTGATTATTTCACTCTGGTTATTTTTACAGGTGTCCCACTACAAAGGTGCTTTCCAAATGTCTGTTCACATCACATATCACAGGAACAAGGAGAAGGAGAGAGTCAGCAGTCTTCTCACATGGCTTTGGCTTCCTGGGTCACTTCAAATGGACTTTGAGTTAAAATGATTTTTTCATATAGGCCCACACTGTAACAGAGGTCTGGGTTTTGATCTGATATCAAAATATATTTCAGTTAATTTCTAATCAGATTTCAAAACCAAGGTACCTAAAAAGCAGTTTATCTGTAAATTTTGTAACATCCGTTTAATGCTAGGGAAAAACATAAATAATAAAAAAGAAGCTAATGTGCTGAATTGTAAGAATGCCCTCGATGTGCAACATTCAAATATTTTTCTCTTTGTCAATCATATCAGAATCAATGTGCTCAGAATGGGATATCAGCATTTAGTCTAAATACCATTATAGACAAAGGTCAGTTGAAAGTCGCAAAAATTTCTTACATGATCACCTATTTACCAGCTACAATGAAAAACCCCAAAAACACCAGAGCCTCTTTATCATCAGGATCTCTACAGTTTCCCCAAGTTTGCCTCTGAAAGTGGGCTCCTATCTCTCTGTTCATGAAACAGTCAATAAACTACATTTCATTAGTAGAAAGCCTCAAATAATCATTGCTCCCACCTTTCTCCCTCCAAAAATTATGCTGAACAAAACTATTTTATTCTAAAATAAAGACTTCCGTTCTTAGAAATATCACAAAGCCAAATGGGCAAACAGCATGATTTGACTTAATACTAATGTATGCAACAAGAAATATTACCTTTGGGAACATTATAAGTCTGGTACCATGATATACTTATTTTTGTCTTTTTAGGTTTAAGTAAAGCAAATCCTTATCAGTTTTAGGCTGAATATTTCCTATTTCATGTTAGTGAAGTATTTAAAGGTAACTCAATATTTTTCCCAAGGCACATTTTTAAAGTCTTAAGGTATAATTTAACATCAAAATCACTTAGTCTTGCTATTCATAAAAATGCCATTTCAAAAATCCACTGCTCTACAAATTAAGGCTATCACATTTTATACTGCAATGCAATGAAACAAAATCTTATATAGAGAAAACAGAAAGAACATCAATAATCCTACATGCCAAAACACATTGAAACAAAAGCCCTGAATTTTCATTTTGGATTTTACCCAGACACTTTTAAGTGGAAGAAAAAGGGTAGGAGGTGGGATGAGCAAGAGAAAGAGAGACCATTAAGAAATACAGAGAACAGAGTCTGCCCGAAATTCTACAGGGAAATGAGAGTATGATATCTCCTAAACTGGCACTGGTTCAAATCATTTCTGCAAGACTATTGAAATGAGAAGCGTTGTTTCAAGCTTCATGCCATGTCAGACAATATAAAACTAACGTGCCCTCGAGTTAATCAGAATGGCCTATTCAGTGTAATTCTCCAATCCATAAGCCTTCTTAGCAGGATAGAAAGTGTTTTGCTCTTTGTAGAGCTGTTTTTCTTGTAAAAGTGTAGATTTAATTGTAAGAGTAAACAGCTCTGATGAATATGTGTTGCACATATTTATTATTTTTAATCTATATACGATGCCTTGTATTTAGTGAAATGCTGACATTTTGAAATAAAAATACATGCAGTATGCTCTCATTTTCAATGTTAAAAAAACAAATTGTGTCTATTACATCAGTTATATTTTACTTTTCATGTTATAGGGATACAAATCATTTCCTGTTACAGAAGTCCAGTCTATTTTTGGTAGATTTATGGAAGGGATTAAAACCACATATATTCATGGTAGACGTGTACCTCAGTCATCAGTTACACTCTATTTTGATGTATCTGATCCTAATTCAATTTTTAGACTAATATGAAGAAACGCTTACTCCACTGATGCCTGTTATTCAGGGTGAGCGCATATGAAAGAGCATTCTCAACTTCCAGCTCAGCTCAATATAAAGATCTCTGTCAAATCACTTCTTGACTCAAGTGTTTAAGGTCCCAAAGGTAGTGACTGAACCACAGGGCCCGTTGAGCTGATTTCAGCTTTGTCAGTCAGCATCCGCAAAGAAGAAAGCTCTTACCAGGCATTCTCCGGTGATGTCATCACAGGATTCCGCGTGACCAAAGCACTGGCAGGGTTCACAGATGCCACCAAAAATAGTGCCGTTAACTCGTCTGTGCCTAGGCCAGCAAGACTAAAAGAAATAGAAGGTTTCAAGTCAGTCTCAGGAATTTTTTTTAAAAAATTGTCTTTTGTCTTATTTTGGATAAAGAAATATATTTAGGCAGCAAACTCAACAATGTGCTTGTCAAAGCTTTGCTATTATTGAAACATTGCTGCAGAGCTATTTCTTCTGACATTGGAGCTTCATACTGACCTTAGCGTTACTGGCAGGTATGAGATTAGAGGAAGCATTAGCTTGGTGTCTTTTCTGAAATAGCAAAATAAAGCAGAGATATAAAGAATTGAAATGTGACAGTCTCGAAGTAAAAAGCACAGACAAAAATAGATGGAAAAGTGCTGAAAAAAAGAAAGCAGCCGACATAAAAGGAGTCTTAAGAGAATCTTAGCCCTACCTCAGCATCTAATGTCATCCCAGGGAATGTTGATTCTCTGGAATGCACTACCTTTTCCACATACAAACTGCCCTTAACTCACTCACTTTCAGAAAAGCTTTGCAATAATTTGGAAGGGAATGCCTGCTCTTACATTTGCTCACATACACCTCTAACTTCTACACATACATAAATCATATTTTTCATTCTCAGTTTCCTTCATCTTATTATGTTTTCTCAAATTTACACAAAATAGTCTATGATTTATTTACCATATATCCCCTTGATATTTTGTTTTATGTTATTACTCTACTAGAACTCTTGTATTCATCATTCCTTTTTTAAAGGATGAAACAATTTATCACATAAAAACAGAATTCTGATTAAAAAAGGATATTTGAGTCTCAGAGTACCTGTATGTCAGTGTCAGCTCTAAGACCACCATCATCCTTAATTAATTGTCCCTTCTGTGGAGGTTACTACAAACTGAATGTGATACAACGTAAGGGGGGGCCAAACACTGCAGTCCTCTAGGAGCTTATGATCTCCCTCAAGTTATAATTGCATTCTGTGGGTTATTTACTTTATTTCTGGATGGTTAACTAAAACATAATATATCATGAAAAGACCTTTTTTTTCCCAGTTGAAAGTGAAAACAAGAGAGAAATCACTGAGGTAATAAAGTATATAGAATTGTGCTGTGTATTGTTAGAAACGTTCCTTCTGCCTCAGGACATGAGGACCCTCAAATCTGAACATCGATAACAAACATAAAAAAAAGATGTGCCGATACCTCATATCTGAAAGAAAAGCAAAAGTAACCTTCCTCTTAATTTGGGCAGAACAAAAAAGGTGTCAATTTTCCGGCACCTAATAATTTCTTCCCATTAAAATGTTTGCTGCCCTATAAATTCATTAGAGAAGAGATTTCCTTCTGTAATATATATTTATAAAAACTGGGATGTGACATATCCAGAAAGGGGTAGAAATTAAGGATGTTGATAACAGGGACATAACTGATTTAGTTCTGTTTGGACAAATAATTATGGGATTGTCATTAATAAGTTTTATTTCTTTACTCTGCGAGTGTACAACTCATACTAAATGCTCTTAAGCTGTATTCCATTAGCTATTGTCTTCCCAATATTCCTTCTGTGCTGTATCAGTAACAGCTTTCTTTCTATCGGATCATTATTATCAGCTCAAAAATATAGTCCAGTTTCCCATCAAAAATTAACTAACTGCCCTGGCTGGTGAGGCTCAGTTGGTTGCAGGTCATCCCACGCATCAAGAGGTTGCCAGTTTGATTCTGGTCAGGGCACATGCCTGGGTTGTGGGCTCCAACCCTGTTG